TTGAATGTTTTACCGTTCTTTGCTTTTGGTATATATATAGATGATATTGCGGAACCACATCCATAACCGCATATTGCAGTTGGTTATCCCGATATCACTGTTTCATTATGGTGAAATTGCGGTTGGTTTTTGCGGTTTTCTAGTTTCGCCTTAGAAAATGCCAGCTCTAGTAAAAACCATACCTGCTTGGGTCTGGGCATCTTTGAGGAAAATAAAATAAACCCTTATTGGGCTTTTTTTCATTTTTGGTACAAACACACATGTTCAGTGTTTCAGGTTTGTAACTTTCTTCTCTTCTCCTTACTTCAGTTTCTTCTTCTGAGATTCTTGATTGAATTTAGCTGCTGGGTGTGATGAAAGAAATAAAACTGAGTTTGGCAATTCTGCTGGTTCTTGCAACCCTTCAAAACGCAAGTTCGCATGGGGAGCAGCCTCTTTCAAGAATTTCTATTCGTAAGGCAACCTTTGCTCTTCATGAACTTGCTTATATTCAAGCCTCTCCAACAGTTCTAGGATTAAGAGTAAGCCTCCTCGTTTTATCTCTTTCTCAATATTGAGCTCTCATAATTCAAAGGGTAGTTTGATTTTGATTGCCTCATATTGTTCTGTGGTGACATAATTTAGATGTATTTTGGGCTGATGGGTATCTTTCACTGTTTTAGGGGGAAAACACAGAATGGGTGACGTTGGAATTTGGTTCTGCAAACCCATCAGTTGATGATTGGATTGGTGTCTTTTCTCCTGCTAATTTCAGGTACATAAATGTTCTTGCATTGCGGAGGATGAAGGAGCAAGAGGTGACCATTTTTTTTTCCCCCAAATTTTTTGGGTGACAGCTGTCAAAAGCTCATTGGATGTGGATACTTAGGTGGATTTCTTACCCTGGCATCCCCGTGCCAGGGAAGTTTTTCTACTAAATTTGGGTTCATTCAATATTTTGACCTTGTTGAAATGATTTTCTTCAAGTACTTTCCTTGGTTCTTGTGTATTGTGGTTAAATTTAATGTCGCTGGTCTGATTGGAAGCAATTCGACTTCATCCGTTTCAGTGCTTCCACCTGCCCTGAGGAAAATCCAAGAGTTTATCCTCCATTTTTGTGTTCTGCGCCTATTAAGGTTCAATCCAGCACTACTCTGTGATGATTTTTTTTTTTTTTTCTACATTGTTTCTTCAGCTATCTTTTCCTTCCAAGTGTAAAAAGAGCTACAGAAGTGACATGAAACTGTTCCCTCTTCCAGTTTCAGTACGCAAATTACTCCACTCCTGAGTACAAAGACACTGGAAAAGGTTTCTTGAAGCTTCAGCTGATCAACCAGAGATCGGACTTCTCTTTCGTGCTATTCTCTGGTGGTTTATTGAATGTATGCTAAAAACTGTCTTGGTTATATTTTCTGCATAGTCGGTAACTAGTTTGTCTTACAAACCAATTAGTAAAGAATTTGTTGTTGTTATGCATTGGCTTGTTGTACTGTCACATTCAAATTGTGTTTCTGATAGAACCTTCGAATTACTGATGCTGCAATTTTCTAATTCTTTCTTTTCTGTGTAATAGCCAAAGGTGGTAGCGGTGTCAAATCATGTAGCTTTCTCTAATCCAGATGCACCAGTTTACCCACGCTTAGCACAAGGAAAAGAATGGAATGAAGTAAGTTCAATTTCCCCTAGTTGCAATCCTCAAAGCACATAGCAGATGCGAAGAACAAGTTTCTCATCACTTTTCTTGTCTTAGGTTTTATGGCTACTAACATTTCGTTCAAGAAAAATATATTTAAGATAACTGTTATTGAAGGTAGCCATATGGTTCTGTACTTAAACTCAGATGACTGTAACATGGACAAGTGGATATGGGATCAATGAGGCAGAACCATTTGTTGAATGGGGTCCAAGAGGAGAAAGTATGCGTTCCCCAGCTGTGACACAAACTGTCGATCGTAATAGCTTGTGTGGTGTGTAACTCTCTTGCACCTTCTTTCTATTCTGAAGAAAATAATGTGGGGTAGTTGATTGGCTGAAGGCAAGGCATAATTTAATTGTCAGGATATCTAAAATGCTAGTACATTATGTATTCACTCATACAATTTGAGGGGAAGAGAAAAACCAACATGATAACCTAAATTCATTTTTCATTATTGATAGTTAATGATAAAACTCTTGACATGGCTAATTTCTGAAGGGAAGATAAATCAGTATTTCATTATGGTAAACCCAGTTGCTTGTCTTTCATCTTCTCTGCCAAACATATCTCAATGTTCATAGCATGTAAGAGGTATGAAGACTCAAAGGTATATATTTGCATGGTTAAGTCCTCTTAAAACTTTTGCACAGGTGCACCTGCAAGAACAGTGGGATGGCGTGACCCTGGATTCATACACACTAGTTTTCTGAAGGAATTGTGGCCAAATAGAGTGTATGTTAAAAAATTGTATATGATTCTCTTGAAAGAGGAGTGAATTGCTAACTTGCTAAGTACATGAGTTTAAGTTACAACCATGAACTACTGGATAGTACAATGTTAAAAGTTTCACCATCAGTTGTTAAATTTTATGGCAAGTCACCAGTTAATATGAAGCTCATTTTTGTGCAGGTATACGTACAAGCTGGGGCATAGATTGTTTAATGGTACATATATTTGGAGTCAGACATATCATTTTAGAGCATCTCCTTATCCTGGCCAAAATTCCTTACAACGTGTAGTCATTTTTGGTGACATGGGAAAGGTTTGAACTCTTTTGGAACATTTGTGCATGTAGTATACAAAATCCTGGTGCCCTTAGGATCATTTTTTACGTTTTGTTTAGATAATTTCTGTTTTGTTCAACGCAATTTACACCCCAAAATGCTGTTAACTTCTTATGGTATGAAGGCCAATCACTTTCATGTAGTTTCTGATTTGTTCCAACTAATCTTTCATCATGCAGGATGAAGCTGATGGTTCCAATGAATATAACAATTTCCAGAGAGGTTCTCTTAACACTACGAAGCAGCTTATTCGAGACTTGAAAAACATTGATATTGTGTTCCATATTGGGGATATATGTTATGCAAATGGTTACCTTTCACAATGGGATCAGTTTACTGCACAGATTGAGCCAATAGCATCCACTGTTCCTTACATGATTGCAAGGTTTGTCATCGTTCAATTACCCAACTTGGTTTCAACAAGAGTTCATCTTTGTCTAGTTTGGTGATTTTGAGTTTTTCCTTTCAGTGGAAACCATGAACGTGACTGGCCAGGAACAGGTTCCTTCTATGAGAACATGGATTCAGGAGGAGAATGCGGTGTGTTGGCTGAAAATATGTTCTATGTTCCTACAGAGACCAGAGCTAAATTTTGGTAGGGGAATATTGTACTAGCAATTCCTCGGATTTGATAAGCTCTTCATTTTGACGCCATGGTCTTATGATGATATTTCTTAATCCAGGTACTCAACTGACTATGGCATGTTCCGCTTCTGCATAGCAGACACAGAACATGATTGGAGAGAGGGAACAGAGCAATACAAATTCATTGAGCACTGCTTAGCATCAGTCGATAGGCAGAAGCAACCGTGGCTAATCTTTCTTGCACATCGGGTTCTGGGATATTCCTCTTGCATCTCTTATGCAGAAGAAGGATCATTTGAGGAACCAATGGGGAGGGAGAGCCTCCAAAAACTTTGGCAGAAGTATAAGGTTGACATTGCCCTCTACGGCCACGTTCATAACTATGAAAGAACCTGCCCCATATACCAGGTACGTTTTCGCATTGTGCAATTAAGAAATTGAACCTCATTCATTAGGCCCATACATTGAGACTTAGACAGATTTAAGTGAAGTAATCAATCACAAGTTCACAACCCTCATTTGGTTATTTAACAGAACTAATTCGAAGATTAGTAACTAATGATGGAAGTGTTGTTGTGACTCTCTGGGACAGAACATTTGCACCAATGAAGAGAAGCATGATTACAAGGGCAGCTTGAATGGAACAATACATGTGGTTGCTGGTGGTGCGGGAGCAAGCCTGTCAACTTTTACCACTCTCCAAACAAAATGGAGCATTTTCAAAGACTATGATCATGGATTTGTTAAACTCACAGCATTTGACCACTCGAACCTTTTGTTCGAGTACAAGAAGAGCAGGGATGGGCAGGTTTACGACTCTTTCAGAATTTCCAGAGATTATAGGGACATCTCGGCCTGCACTGTTGATAGTTGCCCAAGCACCACACTGGCCTCATGATCTGGATATACAGAAACAGAAGTAAATATTTGTAACAATGAAACGTGATCTTTCTATGTATGTAATATAGAAGATTATTAGTGACAATGTTTATGTTAGTCTTACGTACGACAAATTTTCCTGACTAATTCAATTAGGGCGTGCTTTTAACGTTCCTGTGGTAGTTGAAGTTCAATGCACCTGCATGGTTTTATTAATATCTATTATATTCTTCTTCTGTTTTTTCCCGCATTTCTTTCAAAAGTTCATCTAATTTCTGGTTATACACCGTATTTTTGTATTTTTCAACAATTCCTTTTATATTTAATACCTGCGTTGTATATGCCCACCATTTCTTTTAAATTGTTTTTTTAGAACCCTTTAAGTTGTATTCAAAAACAGGTCACGGATTAGAAAGATTGTACAACAACCCCAATTTTATCCATTTAAAAAGAAAATAATGGAAAAAACTTAAAATATAAAACAGGAGTACAGGACCAGCATCCTGATTTTACAATGCTCATTAATACCAAAAAGATATATATTTCCTACCAAAAAAGACAGCAGTAGTATAACCTGTGGATTCGTTATTATTGCTTTTCCTTAGACAATAAAATCTCCACCTCGTTTATAACCAACCAACAATCATTTCCTCCTCGTTTATAAGTTTTGAATGCTAGAATTCATGAAAGAAAGAAGCTTTGCTTAGAAGGAGTACAATTAAACCATTGGGTCGTCACTTTCTATAATCAAACAGAGAGAGAGAGAGAGAGAGAGAGAGAGAGAGAAGAGAGAAGGAATGGATTTATGGGTGCTAGCAGCAGCAGCAGCTACTGAGGCTGCTTATGTAGCAAAGTATTGTTGGCATAAATGGCTTTTCAAGGAAGGTTTATCAGAATCGGTTCATGTTCATGGGCAATCCCAGATTCTTGGTGATTCAGTAATCGATTCAGCTTCTGCTAGTGGTGGTGGTGAAGAGCATTTGGCTCCAAAAGAGATGAAAAAAACTGGGCATAGGATGGAGGAGCTGACTGAGTCTTCTGGTGAATTGGTTTCTGATTTTGTTGTGACAGGAAAGGCTGTGTATTATTTTCATGATAGACTAAAGAAAAGCAGATATCTTGGAATTAAATCTAATGGGTATTCTTATAAAGCTCTGGATTCCACAGAAAATTGCTTTTTGGCTCAGGTGGTGTTGTACAGGGAACATGCTAGAGTGGAAGAGGAAGTGGATGGTTCCTGTGCATGGTCAGCATCAGCATCACCATGTGTTTTGACAATGAGGCCATTATTGGTTAACAATGGGAGGCAAGTAATTGGCTTTGCAAGTGTTGATTTCAATGAGGTGTGGTTGGAGAGTGAGGAAAGAGAGCTTGAAAAGAAATGTGGCTTGAAAGAGAAGGCCCGGCGGCAGCGGCAGCAGAGGCAGAGGCAGAGGAGATGTAGCAGCTCAACTACATGGGTGTCTGGTAGACCGTTTCACTCACAAGGTTGTACGCTATTCTTTTGTTATAATGAACTTTGCTTTTTACATGTTGCTCAAAGTTTAAGATGCTATTTATCTTGTGCTTAAAATTTAGTTTTTACTTTATCAGGTTCACAATATGGAATGCTTCTTTTACTTATTGGAATCACAATTGGAATAATGTATACTATTATTGCTCATAAAAGAGAAGTTGACAAGTTAAATGAGTCGCTGAAGCAGACGCAGAAGTTGGTCCAAGATTTGCATAAGGAGGAGGAGGCAGAGATGAAAGATTCATTGAACTTGAAGGAGCTCAGTAATTTGGGTTTTGAGTTCCAGGGAACTGACCAGACGGTAGATGATGATGCTGAAGCTATGAGCAAAATTGAGGCAGAGCTCCTAGCTGAACTAGAGCTTTTGGAACTAAACGTTAACACATACAGCTTAAGCAGAACACCAGATATTGTGGAGGTAATTATGCACCTGAATCATTTCAATTATGCTGCGTATTATTGGTTAACCATACTGCAGAAAGGCCTAAGAACAGTGTGCAACAAGCAGTTTCTGTGGTTACCAATTTACAATCTCAGGCAGAAAATGATTTTCTTTTATGGAGTATAAAATTTGGGCAATTGGGTTTCTCTTTGCAGCTGGATCCTGACTTTGTAGCAGATGTTGTTGAGGAAGATCTGAGACTTGACAGGGTCAATTGGGAACCTGCTGGCAGTTCATCAGTCTCAAGTCATGAAGAAGCTGTGTGCCCTAGGGAGCTGAGTTTGCGTCTCCATGAGGTGATCGAGTCAAGGCTTGAAGCACGTATCATGGAGCTTGAGACAGCACTTGGAGCTAGTCAAAAGAGGGTGCATTCAATGGATTTTGAACATGTAAAATCTCTGAGGGACTTCAATGAATTTAACAGATAGATACAACGAAGCTTATGAAGAGATTAACAGGGCGACTTCAACAGATGAGGAAGTTGAACACAAAATTGCAAGAAGAATGTATGTATATTAGTCTTAATCACCTAATTTTTTGACTGATTACAAAAATGAGAAATAGATCACTAATTGATGTATAGAAGTTAAAATTACAATTTTTCATTAAGGTGCAGTGCAGACGAGAATGCTTACCTAAGTAGGTTGCTCAGGAGCCATCTTTAAAAATAGTTTCAGAGTTCTACATATCGTTTCCTGATTGACGCAATTTTAACATAATAGCTGTGTTCATTACACGTTCTAAAATCACCTGAATTTTTCTATTCTGATAAAGAAAACCCAATTTTCACTGTAAGATTGTGTCTTCATTCTCATTGAATTAGTTTACTCTCTATACTTTACAATGGAAAGATCCTTTTGTACCTAAAATAAAGCAGAAAAGAGAAGTACAAGAACCCACAGGCAACACCACAAATAATGAGAACCCAGCTGAATGTCGATGGATTATCAAAAATAGAATCGGGAAAATTCATTCCAAAAACTGCTGTAACAGCAGCAAAAATTGTGGCCACGAAAGTAGCTGCTGTAAGAAGCAACTCAAATTGTATCAGATGGTTCTGAACATTGCCCTGCCCATTAACAGAGTGTAATATTAGAATACATTTTATAGTAGTTCAAAGAAATATAGTCAAAAGGCAATCTAAGATTTAGAAAATGGAAGCTGTTAATCAATCCTTACCAGTTTAAAGTTAATCAAATCTTCAGTATCATCAATGTATTCTTTTAGCTGCATCACCAATACAAGAAATAATTTTTTGTCAATCACTCACCAGTCAACAGTTTAATTTTACCCTTTTTTATACAAATTTATAAATAAACTCAATCCTAGACATGTATTTATAAAAAAAACTCAAGCACTATTTAAACATAGAAACACACCCAAAATCAACAATTGTATATTTTTTGGGTGTGTTTATAAATGGGTTTTGAGTGTGTGTAATGATGAGTTTTGGGTGTGTTTATAAAGTGTTTTGGGTGTTCGGTTTTTTTATAATTTCAGCCTCCATTTTGGGTGTTTTAGTGAAACTCCCTTAATTTTAATCAAATCTTCAGTATCATCAATATATTCTTTCAGCTCCATCACCAATACAAGATATAAAATTTTCAAGATGTGTCTGCATAGCAGAGCGACAACTCTTCAGGGTCACTTAGCCAAGAACCATATCTCAATATTGATAAAATCAGTCTTTATTATATTAGTACTAAGCAACTCTCTCAGTCTCTTTTTATTAGCTCAAATGGACCAGGGTATTTGATTAGGAAGTCTAAAACTCAAAGCGTTCTGATTCTTTCCTATTGGTTAGTTTTATTCTTATTCTTTCATTATACAGATGATAACCTTACTGATTTATAAACAAACAGTAGTAAATTCATTTTTCAAATACTACAATTTCGATAAACCAAAAAGCTATAAATACGTAACAAAACATCTCATACCGATAACACCTCGCTGAGAGTATGGTCAATGACAACAAAGTATGCTTCAAGCAGCATTTCCAGTTGTTCAATGTTTTCTCCACTATTAGATGAACTCATTAAGCTGGGTCTGCTTGAACTCACAATGCTGCTAAAAGCCCTTTGCAATTTATGTGCTCCACTGATTGACCCCACTGGAGAAACAGGAGCAGATTTTGAGCCCACTCTTTC